AATAAAAAAACACAAAAAAAACATATCCTCTGGTGAGGATAAAAAAAAAAAAATCAACCAATGAATGTGTAAATAAGTACATAAGTAGAACAACAGATCCGTGTTTCTCTCAAAATCAATAAATAAAAATTAAAAAACAAAAACCTTTGCACTGAAAACCACAACATATTGCCAAGAGAAACTTAAAAAACAACAACATAAGCCCTGGCTGGATAGCCAAAGTGGTGGGTTCAACCCCTGGTCAGGGCACATATAAGAAGCAACCAGTGAATACATAAATGAGTGGAACACAAATTGATGTTTGTCTTCCTTCTTCTCTCAAATAAAATCAATAAATAAAAATTAAAAAAAAGAAAAAGACTAACATAAATTGATAGCTATATCATGTTCTTGGATTGGAAGACAAAATAATTAAGTTTTCAATTTCTCTCCCAAACTGATTATATTATAGGTTCAAAGCATTCCTGATCAAAGGCTTTTTAAAAATAGAAACTAACAGGTTAATTCTAAAAATGTAAGGATCTAGAATAGTCAAAAGAGTCTTGAAAAAGATTACTAAAGCTGGAAGACTTGTACTACCTGACTTAAAGACTTACTAAAAGGATACAGTAATTAAGAAAGTGGCTTGAGGATATACAAGTAGATCAATAGAACTGAATAGAGAGTCCATAAATAATCCACACTTACAGAGTCAATTGACTTTGACAAAGTCACCAAAGCAATTTAGTGGACAAAGGAAAGTCTTTTCAACAAATGATGCCATGACAACTGGATATCAATATATGGAAAAAACCTAACTTCTAGCTCATATCATAATTTGAGCTGGATTATCTATCAGTTGAAATATAAAGAGAAAACTATAAAGCTTTTAGAAGAAAACATAGGAGAATATTTCATGACCTGGGAATGGGAAAAGATTTCTTACAGGACAGAGAAAGCAGTTACCATAAAAGAAAAAGGAATCTTGATAAATTAGGTTTCACCAAAATTAAACTTTCTGTTCATTAAAAGATACCATTAAGAAAGTAAATAGTCAAGCCACAGAATGAGAGGAAATAGTCACAAAGCATATAGCTGACAAAGGACTTTTTTCAGAATATATAAAAGATTTTTTTACTCAATAGTTGAATAAAAAGAAATGTTATTATTAAAATGGGCAAAAAGCACAGATGCTTCACAACAAAAAATATGAGTGACCAACTAGCAAATGAAAAGGTTCTCAGCATAATTTGTCACTAGGGAAATCCAAATTAAAACTGTAGTGAGATTCCACTTGAACACTCACGTGAATGGCTAAAATTAGACATAAATCCAATTGCTGACAAAAATTGACACAGCTGAAACTCTTATACATTATTGGTGAGTATAAAATGGCACAACCATTTAGAGAACTGTTTAGCAGTTTAATAAAAGTTAAACATATACATCCTCTTTAATCCAGAGATTCTACTTCTAGGTATTAACGCAAAATTAATGACCCATAAGCATGAAGAGATGTTGCACCTCTCTGGTCATTAGGTAAATTAAAATCAAAACAACAGTGAGGTACCCATTCACTTTAATATCCTTCAAAATGGCAACAATTAAAAGTTGTTAATAAGGAGGTAGAGCAGCAGGAATTCATATGCATGTTTTGAGGAGTATAAGTTGATTTGGCCACTTCAGAGAACATGTAGTGAAGCTGAGGATATGCAAGAGAATTCTAGCAGAGCTCTAGGAAGCACATGTAATCATAATGTACACTGCAGCACAATTTGCAATTTTTAAAAAAGGAAGCGTCCTGTTGGCTATATTTGTGGCTATGTTCTTGCACAGAAAGATGGATGAATAAATTGTGGTTTATTCATAACAATATCTATACAAAGTTAAAATGAGTGAAGTAGAGCTACATGGAGAAATCTCAAGGGAAGAAAAGGCAAGGTGCAAAATTATACAAAGAGTCTGATACCGTTTATATAAAATTTGATACATATAAAAACATGTACTTATGGATATATGCATTTGCAGTAAAAATATAAAGAGGAATGGTGAACACCTATAATTGCTTCTAATAAGGATATAATGTCTCCAAAAAATACTAAAAATTATGGCAAATAGAGCAAGTATTCAGATATGATAAATCTTGGTGGATACATGGGTGCTTGCTTCATTCCCTACACTTTTATGTGTGAAAATAGATTACAGCCAATGCAAGAATAAATGAAAACAAATCAATAGCCAGCAGGTGAGGTGGTGGAGACTATGCATGGGAGCCAGCTCTTTTGATATTTGTTCCTTCAGACTTCTGTCACCTTAGATTCTGGAACTCTAAGCCTCTGTGGTACACGTTGCTCCAACCTCCTTTGTAAGATCGAGGATCCTTTTCCTATCAGTCAGTCACATTTGGTTGGTGGGATTACTTGCCTTAGGTGACGTTAGTTTGAATTCTAGTTTTGCTATTGGCTATGTGTACCTGTGGGCAAGGTAACTTCTCTTACTTACTGTCAGTCTCCTTGACTATTAAATGGTAACAATGATGTATTCTTCACTCATTAATACAACAAATATATATTGAGCGCCTACTGTGTGCCAAGTAACTATGCTAGGTACTGAGAGACTACACTGGTGAAGACACCTGCTTTAGAAGTGATTCTCAACTCTGAGTTGTAGAATTGTCTATAAAGCCCTTTAAAAATTTAGTAGTAATGGGGACTCATAGGAAGCACTAATGAGGTCCAGGGTTAATGCAGGAGGCTGGAGAGACTGTTTCTATAACGTCCTTTTCACAAATGATTCCAATATTCAGGAATGGTTGAGAAGTTTTACCCTATTTTCTATGTTTTATGGGAGCAGGAATTGTGTTTTCCTTGTTCTCCACCATACCTTAGAGCCTGGCCCATAGTGCTCAATAAGTATGTGTTGAATGAGTAAATGAAAAAAAAAGACATTGTCACAGTTCCCTAAAGCAAGTAGTCTCTCAGGCAAGGCAGACAAATATGTTAAAATGAGTACTGAATGAAATAAAAATACTCTCTCCCTTCTACTGTCTCTGAAAAGCAATGAAAAAAATATCCTTGGGTGAGGACTTAAAAAAATTATAATAAATAAACCTGAAAGCTACTTTTGCCTCCCTCTTCCCTCTTACTCTCTTTTCCAGCTATCTAATTTTTGCCACTGATACCATCTTTCTTCCATTTGCCCCAGCTAGGACCTTTGCAGTCATCTTTTAGTCTTTTTTCTGTACAATGTTTTGAAGTACTCTTATTTCTTCTGAGCCATGTTTTGTGCCCATGGCTTGATGCTGAATCTCTTAAGATCTCCATGAAGCAGTACACTGTAGTGGTAAAGAACACAGACTAGCCCTGGTTGGTTAGCTCAGTTAGTTAGAGTGTCATCCCTGTATGTCAAGTTTGCAAGTTCGATCCCTGGTCAGGGCACATACAAGAACCAGTCAATGAGTGCATAAGTAAATGGAACAACAAATTGGTCTTTCTCTCCCACTCTCTCTGTCTCTCTCTCACACACCAATACATTTTTAAAAAATTGAAAAACAGAACACGGACTAGTGTCAGACTGTGGGAGTTTGATTCTAGGCCTGTCACTTGCTGGCTCAGTGACCTTAGTGAGTTCATCTGTCTGTGCCCTCATCTGTAAGCAACCATAGAGCTGTTGTGAGAATTAAGTGGTCTTAAGGTGAGCAGAGGCTAGCATATAAATGCATTGTAACTGTCAGCTATCAATGCTAAGTATTTTGTCTCTTCAGTTAAACTGTAGCTCTATGAAGACAAATATGCTATGTATTTCTTTAGTATCCCTTCTTTAATACCTATCACAGTAGAAGGCATATAGGAGGCCCAAAAATACTTGTCAAATTTGAGAATATAGTAGTTATTATGCTTTATGTTTAATAGTAAAATATTTATTTTTCTTTAAAGCCTTAGAAATGATTTTAGGACTTCTTTAAAATCTAATTCTTGTGCTCTGAAAACAAAATTAACATAAACATAAACATGAAATTATAGTGAAGCAAATGAATGGGTTCCTAATGAAATAATAGTTATAACTTTATATGACAATTGAAAAATCTTGTAATAGGAATAATTTTCAAGGGTGAATGTGGGTCAGTGTTTCCCCAACCTAATTAGGCATAACAGCCATTTGGAGTGCTTGTAAAAATATAGGTTCCCAGCCCCAATCCAGACTTTTTGAACCAGAATCTCCAAAAGACTATATGTATTACTATACATAGTATAAACTATACATGTATAGTTTACCAGAAGTTTAAAATGATGAAGTTTATGTAATACATATAAAATGAACATTTTATATATAAAAAATCAAAGTAGATGTAATATTGTACCTAAAGCCACACTGTCTTAACATACTGAATATCCAGTGGTCTTGGTAGAATTTTTCTTCTTTTTTCCCCCCTTCGTCAACCCTAGGTAGTCTTATGAGAGAGAATTTTAGATGAAGCTAGTCTAGATAATGTACTTTCTTTGAGGGTTTCAACGAGATTTCAGTAGGCATATTTTAATCCAGCTATTCATATTTCTTTGCCTTATTTCTAAAACAATTCAGGCCTGAGGACTTGCGTCGTGAGTTTGGTCGGTATGGCCCTATAGTAGACGTTTACATTCCACTTGACTTCTACACTCGCCGCCCAAGAGGATTTGCTTATGTTCAATATCCTTTATTTTACTGTGTGCATGTGAATATACCACATACATGTGCATATTACATATATGTATTCAGAAACATATGTTATGAGATTAATATTGCCTAATTAAATGTGTTTATTTCTTTATCTCAGAAAATCTAAAGCAGTCCACAGTAGCTGGCAAGAGCCCCCCAGTTTGAACCAACCTGTTAGCTAGAATCCAAGCATAAACCGAGCAGGCGAGACAAAAGGCACCTAAAGTTCAAGCATCAAGGAGTAAAGAGGGAGGGTGGACACAGATATAAAGACCTGGAAGAGGGGAAGTCTTTATCAAGCAAAAGACAAAGCCAACAACAGGTTGAGACTTCGGCTTTCCTACATTTACTCAGAGTTCCAGAGTCAAAGCCAAGTCTGATTTTGTTGGTTCTTCATCTCTTATAAAGTCCATCTTGCAAGCCTTAAAGCGTAAAGGTCAAGGTTCAAGATCAAGTGACATTGAGGTAATTGCCAAAGTCTCATTTTGTATTGCATTTCTTGAGCTTTTTCTGTTTTCTATTTAAAAAAAAATTAAACCAGTGAATAACCTCCTAAAATACAGCTATTCATTTTATATAGCTTATTTCTATTTTAGTTAGGTTTAATATATAATTTCATAGATAAGGGAGTTTAGTGGGTTATTACAAACAAATATATGTAATTCCAAATGTTTATAAGTTGCTTTTATGTTTTTTTATACCCCAAGTAATAAAAGCATAAAGATATTTTAAAGCAGTAGGTTCAAAGGTAAATATGACAATTTTTAAAGGACTAAATCAGTTTTGAAAATATGTTTTAGTTCAGTTATGTGTGTGCATTTTGTTTATAAGTAATTGCTCCAAAATGTCATAATTACTCTTTTACTGAAAGAGTAATTTAAATTTCAGAATACAGGCTTCTGCATGCTGATTTTTTTCAGTGAAAAACCTGATGAATTTTTTTACCTGAAAGAAGGGTATTTTTTTCCTCATGATATGTTTGAAATTATACATGCATACTGCAACTACATTAATGTATACATTAAGAGAATAGTTGCATGTTTGTTTCTTTTTAGATTCACGCTTAAATCGTAATGGGTGTGTGTTTTCATAATAAAAGTGAATTTTCTGATTATTCATATTGTAGATGTGAGCTTAATAACTAGAACTTGTTTTTTCTATTAATTTCCTGTTACATAAATAATTCTTTTAAAGTAACATTTTTACTTGATAACCGATATTCAAAGTGTCCTTAACAGCTACTCATATTTGAAGATGTTCGCGATGCTGAAGATGCTCTTTATAACCTCAATAGAAAGTGGGTATGTGGCCGTCAAATTGAAATACAGTTTGCACAAGGTGATCGCAAAAGTAAGTGTGACTAAACGTTAGATCTTGTTTATTCAGCAGAATGAGTTTTAGCAATGACAGATTTTTTAGTTTAAAATTCTTTCAGAAAATAATACTATTTAAGTGGCTGTGACTGAGGATTTCAGGTAATAAATTATTAGTCTTGCACTTCATATTCTAGCACCAGGCCAAATGAAATCAAAAGAACGTCACCCTTGTTCTCCAAGTGATCATAGGAGGTCAAGAAGCCCCAGCCAACGCAGAACTCGAAGTAGAAGTTCTTCATGGGGAAGAAATAGGAGGCGGTCTGATAGCCTTAAAGAGTGAGTACAAAATACAAGAGGATTGAAAACTTAATTTTCTACTTTTTCTGGAAAACATTTTAAAGAGCTTTGAAAAACAGGTCATCATTTTGTTTAATATTCATAAAGAATCATCTTTTGTAGAAAGATTGACTTAAGTTTACTGAATACCTTCCAGTGTTTTTATTTCATGACAGACTTAAGCTTTTTATTTATTTTTTCTTCTGTTTCTTCTTGGGACTTAACCTTTTTTAATGGAAAGATAATATATACTGAAAAAAAGCAACTTTTTAAAAAATGTATACTTGACAAATAAAAGTGAGGAATGTTAAATAAGTAAAAATTTCCAAAATGAACCCAACAATTAAGAATGTTGACTTCTGCCTCCCCAGTGTAGCTCAGGGGTTGAGCATCGACCTATGTATGATCCAGGAGATCGTAGTTCAATTCTGGATCAGGGAACATGCCCCAGTTGCAGGCTTGATTCCCAGTAGGGGGCGTGCAGGAGGCAGCTGATCAGTGACTCTCATCCTTGATGTTTCTATCTCCCTCTCTCCCTCTCCCTTCTTCCCTCTGAAATCAATAAAGACATTTTTTTAAAAAAAAAAAAGAATGTTGAGTTCTGCCGTGACGGATGTGGCTCAGTTTGTTTGGCATTGTCCCTTGGACCAAAGATTTGCCCTTTAGATTCCCAGTCAGGGCACATGCCTGGGTTATGGGCTTGATCCCTGGTAGGGGGCATGCAGGAGGCAGCCAATTGACGTTACCCTCTTACATCAACGTTTCTCTCTCTCCCTCTCCCTTCTAAAAATCAATAAAAATATTTTTTAATGTGATTCAAAGAATGTTGAGTTTTGGTGATTAAAAGCTCATAGAAGGGAAGGTGGTTGACACTAAAATTAATGTAAATCAATATATTTATAAAAAGTGCTCAGCCAGGCATGGCTCAGCAGTTGAGCATTGACCTAGGATCCAGGAGATCGCAGTTCGATTCCCGGTCAGGGCACATGCCCCGCTTGTGGGCTTGATCCCCATTTGGGAGTATGCAGGAGGCAGCCGATCAATGACAATTCTCTCATCATTGATGATTCTATCTCCCTCTCCCTCTCCCTTCCTCTCTCTGAAATCAATAAAGATATATTAAAAATAAATAAATACAAATTTAAAAATTAAAAAATAAATAAAAAGTGAGTTATTTTCAAAAATAAATTCCAAGTATGGTAGTAATATAGGAAAAAGACATAAAAATAGTCAAAATTTCAGAAAAAGATATTTGCAAGTTACCTATTTTGCTAGCTAGGAGTTTGTTTCTGTTAGAATAATAGTAAATCACAATGGAAATTAATTACTTGATGAAGTTGTTTAAATAATAACAAATTGCATTAGAATGCCTAAGTTCTTAAACATTTGTACAATTGTTGTTGTTGTTGTTAATCCTCACCTGAGGATATTTTTGCATTGCTTTCAGAGTGTGGAAGTAGGGTGGGGGGAGAGAGGGAAAGAAACATCAGTGTGAGGGAATTCAAGAATCCTAATTGCTAGAAAATGGGACTGGCCTACTCAGAGCCCTCCCTGCATGCCAGATTCAGATTCTTACATGTCAGATCTGTACCTTTCCTTGAGTACGAACCAAATGCTTTGATTTTGGCCCATCTTTATAGAGAGGCATCAAGATGGGAGGACGTCTTAAGCTCTTTTTTAAAAAGCCAGGAGAACCCAGGTCAGGATTGACCGTTACTCAGATTGGTGAAGAAATAGTTAGAAACAGTCATATTCTGGAACTTAATCCTTTTTATCTTACTTTTTCTGATAGTATAAGAATATAAACTTCCCTTGCACCTATAGAGAATAATCTAGCTTATCCCATGGCTAAGGAATTTTCCCATTGATTGATATTTGAGATTTAGATTGATATATAATTTCCATATTCAAATACAAAATTATATTTATAGAACTTAAAACATAATGAGAGCAAATTAAGATTTAAAAAGTTTCACATGCCTGTGCATAGGAAATCAACATCAATACCATTGGTACTGCTTCTGGCTTCACAGAGGACATGAATGGTGTAAGGGAGTGTTGTTCAACAGTTCATTCACATTGCTATGAGTTTTATATCTCTCTCAATGCTATTATATATACTATACATGTATAGACTGTATGTATTACTATGTATAGTTTACCAGAAGTTTAAAATGATGAAGTTTATGTAGTACATATAAAATGAACATTTTATATATAAAAAATCAAAGTAGATAGAATATTGTACCTAAAGCAGCACTGTCTTAACATACTGAATATCCAGTGGTCTTGGTAGAAAGATTTAGTTCACAAAAGAAAAAAGAAAAAGAAATTGCCTATTTGATTCATTAAGAATATAAATTGTTGCCCAACCAGGCGTGGCTCAGTGGTTGAGTGTCGACCTAGGATCCAGGCGATCAGGATTCGATTCCCGGTCAGGGCACATGCCCGGGTTGTGGGCTGCAGCCGATCAATGACTCTCTCTCATCATTGATGTTTCAATCTCTCTCTCTCCCTCTCCCTTCCTTTCTCTGAAATCAATAAAGATATATTTAAAAGAAAAAAAAAAGAATATAAATTGTTGCCCAGCCAGGCATGGCTCAGCAGTTGAGCATCGACCTAGGATCCAGGAAATCGCAGTTTGATTTCCAGTCGGCACATGCCGAGGTTGCGGGCTCGATCCCCATTCGGAGCTGTGCAGGAGGCAGCCGATCAATGACTCATCATTGATGTTTCTCTCTCTCTCTCCCTTCCTCTCTCTGAAATCAATAAAGATATATTAAAAAAGAAACAAACAATATAAGTTGTTTCCAAATGCATTAGAGCCTTAGTTAACCAGTTTTTCTCCTGATTGATCTAAAAAAGGTGATTATTTACACCATTTTCTGCCTTCTAGAGCTGGAGAAAAAACAAAAAATTGACTATTTTTCCAAATCATGATGGAGTAGCAGGAACAGAAAGAACCACATATTTTTGCAAGACAATGTTGTTTTGATCATTGCTTAACCTCACTGACCTCAGTTTTTTAATCTGTAAAATTATAGAGAACGTAGATCTTACCTAGCTCTCAAGGTATTCATGAGGATCAGATTTTCCGTGTGCGTGCATGCGCACAAGAGAGAATGCATATAAGCTTAATGTGCAGTGAACTTATGTACTGTCTCTTGCCCTGGCTCGTATGGTTCAGTGGTTAGAGCATTGGCCCCTTGGGTTCAGTTCCCAGTCAAGAGCACGTACCGGGGTTGCAGGTTCAATCCCTAGCCCCATGCGGGAGGCAACCAATTGATGTTTCTCTCTCACATCGATGTGTCTGTCTCTGTCTCCTCCCCTTCCTCCCTTCCACTCTCTCTAAAAATAGAAAAAAAGAAGAAAAAAAGAGGTCTCTTATTTTGCCTTCAGTAGATGTGGAAAAAAGACTAGTTTATTGCTCTCAGTAGACTATGAGCTCTTTGAGGAGCAAGGACTTTTGTCTTATTCATGCTTATATCCCTAGCACTTAGCAGTAGTCCCTAGCTCAAGATTGTTAAAATAGCATCCTTTTTTTTTCCATGTTAGAATTTTTTTTCAAGGGCAATATTCTATTTTTTCCCCCCTGTAACTACCACTGGAGTGAAATTTTATAATTTCTAAAAGACTATTTTTATTCCAGAATATATTCTAGATCAATATATTCATATTTTTCAGTGCTCTTCACTCTTGCCTCTAGTTCCATGCTTTTATTTGGGCTTATTTTCCTTCAGTCTAAAATATTTTTAGTATATCTTACATTTAGTACAGGTCTGCTGGCAATGAATTCTTTCAGTTTTTGCTTCTCTGAAACATCTTCATTTTATATTCATTTTTGAAGGATATTTTTGCTGGGGATAGATTTCTAGGTTGTTAGGGACTTTTCCCCCTTTCTTTTTAAATAATATCATTCCATCGTTTTTCTGATATCCATAGTCAGCTAGAAATCTTAATGTTGCTTCTTTGAAGGTAATGTCTTTTATTCTTTAGCAGATTTTCATATTTTTCTCTTTGACTTTGGTTTTCAGCAGTTTCATTGTGATACACCTTGTGTAGTTTTCTTTGTACTTAATTCTACCTGGGGTTTACTGAGCTTTTCAAAATTGTGAGTTGATGCCTTTCATTAGTTTTGGAAAATTCTAGGATATTATCTCTTCATATACTGCTTTTGCCTTACTGTTTTTCCTCTTGGCCATGTGACTATGTTCCAAATATCTCTTATGCTCTGTTCTGAATTTCTTAAAATTCCTCTTCTCTTACTGTGTTTCAGTATGTTTTTCTTTTTAAAAAAAATACGTTTTATTGATTTCAAAGAGAGGAAGGGAGAGGGAGAGAGAGATAGAAACATCAATGATAAGAGAGTCATTGATCGGCTGCCTCCTACATGCGTCATACTGAGGATCAAGCCTGCAACCTGGGCATGTGCCCTGACCAGGAATCAAACTGTCACCTTCTGGGTTCATAGGTCGGCGCTCAACCATTGAGCCATGCCAGCCCAGCTATGTTTTTCTAATAATCTGTTTTTCAGTTTAGTTCACTATTTCTTCGGTTGTTAAATCCATTTAGTGACTTTAATTTCAGATATACATAATTTAGTTCTAAAATGTCCATTTGTTTCTTTTTATAGATTCTAAAATTCTTTTGAAATTCTCCATCTTTTTCGTCTTTTTCTCATATTTTTTTAAAACATACTAGTCATAGTGCTGTGGCCAGTGTAGCTCAGTGATTAGAACATCAGCCCACACACTGAAGGATTCCAGGTTCAATTCCCAGTCAAGGGTACATACCTGGGTTGTAGGTTCAATCCCTAGCTCTGGTCAGGGCTCTTGTAGGAGGCAACCAATCGATGTGTGTCTCTCACATTGGTGTTTCTCTCTGTCTCCCTTCCCTCCCTCTCTGTCTGAAAAAGCAATGGGAAAAAAGTATCCTCGGGTGAGAATTAACAAAAAACTAATTTTAAAAAGCCAACGTATTAGTCATAGTAACTTTTTTAAGTCATGCCTGAATAAAACTAATACCCAAATTATTTTGAGTCTAGTTATTTTGTCTTTTTTTTTTAGTTTTTAGTAATTTTAATTTATTTTTCACATACCTTATAGTTTTTTTATTGGATGTTGGACATTGTTGATGAAAAATTATAGAAGCTTTCAATGCTACCATCCTCCAAAGAAAGTTGTTTTCTTCTAGCAAGGCAGAGCATTGGCAGATCACCTTGACCCTTTCAAGGCTTAGTTTGAGGCATTGTTAAGGCTGATTTATTTAGCTTTACATTTATTCCTAGGGCATGGCTCTTAACTGTAGGATACCACCCTTCCAGGTTCTTAATTGGAAGCTTAGGTTCTTTCTTAAGACTCCTTGACCTTTTTGGGGTGCTTGAACTCCAGCCTCTATCCCCAGTACCATGTGTCTGATAAAATTTCAGCTCAGTTTTTGAATCTTCCAGCTGGCAGTTTTTTGCTGCCCTCTTGGGAGTCTCATCCTGTGTATGCACAGCTAAAAGATGGCCAGTGACTTGAGAATTTATATGCAGATTTTAGTTTTTTGTTGGTGGTTTTAATTTTTTTTTTTTTTTTGGTCTGCAATTCTCTTATCTTTGGGATTTTGCCTCTCAAGTCTCAGGCACTTTGGTAGCCCTGAACTCTAACCTCTGTCTCTTCAGCTTAGTCAAAAAGCCATTTTCTTGGTAGGTTCAATTTCCCATGCTGTCATTAAGAAAATGGTCTGAGTAAAAGGGGCACGGCTTCTAACCCCTCAATTTCTGCTTGTTTTGGTTATTCTCCAATGCCTTCACAGAGTTGTTTTATAAATGTCTAGCTTCTTTTTAAAATCTTTTTTTAAATTGAATTTATTGGAGTGACATTGGTTAATAAAACTATAGGTTTCAGGTGTACAAGTCTGTAATACATCATCTGTATATTGCATTGTTTGTTCACCACCCCAAGTCAAGTCTTCTTCCATCACCATTTGTCTGTCTTTTTTATGTAGCTATTTTCTATGGGAAGATTAATCTAGTACAAGCTGTTTTATCATGGTAGAATTCAGAAGTCCTACATCTAGGTTTTTGTTGTTATAAGCATTATTTGATAAACTTTAAATATTTTCTTTCCCTTTCTCTCATTTTTCCTTTCAGATTTTCATATCTCTTAGGAGTTGTATAACCCAGACTAAATATGCAGGACATTTTTCAGAACTGACACATGTCATAAGATATATCTAGCAAAGTAAAAACTTTTGGTTATATATCTAGTGTTACAAATATTACAAACTTGTTATATTTGAACCAAAAGCATGCATAATAAAATTAGAATTATTTTAACTTAGCCAATAAAAACATCCAGTATTGTATAAAGTATATAATTTCCTGCAAGTGTTTTTTCTAATCTGTTAACTGTTTTTGTGTGAAATATATACTCTAATATTGTGGATGTTTGCAGGTCTCGACACAGGCGGTTTTCTTATAGCCAATCTAAATCTCGCTCCAAATCACTACCAAGGCGGTCTACCTCAGCAAGGCAGTCAAGAACTCCAAGAAGGAATTCTGGTTCTAGAGGACGGTCAAGGTCCAAGTCCTTAGAAAAAAGGTCTAAGTCAATAGGAAAATCACAATCAAATTCACCTCAAAAGCAGACTAGCTCAGGAACAAAATCAAGATCACATGGAAGACATTCTGACTCCATAGCAAGATCCCCTTGCAAATCTCCTAAAGGGTATACCAATTCTGAAACTAAAGCACAAACAGCAAAACGCTCTCATTTTCGATCACATTCCAGATCTCGGAGTTACCGTCACAAAAACAGTTGGTGAACAACAAGAAGAGTGCTAGGTAATCCTTAATATAAGTTATTAAACCTCTCGTTATGTTAAATAAAAATTCTTTAAGGCTTACAGAAAATGTGAGTTGATACTAGTTACTTTGGGCATGTGCAAGAAATAAAACCTCTCTAGCTTTGGGTTAATAAAGATTTGGTCTCAATTTAAAGGCCCACACCACAAATTATGATGTGTCTAATGTCGCCATTTTATGGACCATTTTCGTTTATATTGTGGCAGAGGGGTACTTTTCAAAGAAAATGGGTAAAATGGAACTAATTTAGAAAATTCTACTTGGATATAAGTGCAGTAGTTCCCCCCTTATCCATGGGGATATGTTCAAAACCCTCCTGGTTCAATGCCTGAAACCACAGATTGTACCAAACTCTATGTATACTATGTTTTTTCCTATACATACATATGTATGATCATGATTAATTTATAGATTAGGCACAGTAAGAGATAACAATAAAATAGAACACTTAAAATAATATACTATAATAAAAGTTATGTAAATGTAATTTCTCAAAATATTGTACTGTCCTCACCCTTCTTGTGATGATGTGAGATGATTACAATGCCTTCATGATGAGATGAAGTGAGGTACTCAGAACTGCATGCAATTTAAAACTTACGAATTGTTTATTTCTGGAATTTTCCATTTAATATTTTTGGGTCATAGTTGATCATGTGTAACCGAAACTGCAGAAAGCAAAACTACGGATAAGGGGGGGACTACTGTATTAGTAATATTAATAATACCTTATACAAAAATATTTTTTACTTTAAAGCACTTTCATGTAAAAAGTAATGACTTTATAAGTGTATAGGGCAGACTTAAACGATTTGACACCTATGTCTCTTTTGTGTCTTGTGTTTAAACTTGGGCCAAGTCCTGGTGGATATTAGTTCATATTATAAAATTCTGACATTCCTAAAAGTTGAATTTATATAGAGATCAAGCATTCAAAAGATAGATTCTCTTCCAAGCTCAAAAAAGGTTTTATTTTTATTGGGTGGAAAAGCATAGGTAAGTTGACATTAAATGGCATCCTGTACTATGTTCATTTGCTTCAGAAATAGCAAAACATTTTTTTAAATACTGAATCTTGAGTGGTTTGAGACTACTCTAAATTGTGTGCAACACTCAGTCCAAAAATATTCATATTAAGCCTTATCTATTTAAAGAGTGGTACATTTTGTATAAAAATCATATTTTGTACCATTATTTCTACATACCTACTTTTCATCTGCTGAATTTTTTTCTTTCTCGAGCTCTAAGTTAAGACTTTAAATTGTATAGAATGTGTCTTACTACTTTTGAAAGTGTTTAGTACCTTGTATTAAGAAACTCAAGACTGCCTGGCCGGGCGTGGCTCAGCAATTGAGTATCGACCTAGGATCCAGGAGATCGCAGTTTGATTCCCAGTCAGGGTACATGCCCGGGTTGCAGGCTCAATCCCCAATTGGGGGCGTGCAGGAGGCAGCTGATCAATGACTCATCATTGAAGTTTCTCTCTCTCTCTCTCTCTCTCTCCCTCTCCCTTCTCTCTGGAATCAATAAAGATATATTTAAAAAAAAAAAAAAGAAACTCAAGACTGCATCCTCAGAAAACAACTTTGCAGTATTCGGATTTACATTACACTGCCTTTCATTTTTTAAACCAAATAACTTTATTGCTATTAATTACTTTTGTAGTTGTTAAAAATGAAAATTTCTTTAAAATGTGTTTGTAGTTTACGTTTTTCAGAGGGTTTTGGTAGTATTTGTGATAAATATTATTATAGGGGATATATTTATAGAGTTCTACTTGTGTACCTTGTTAAATTATATTGAAAATTAAAAAGTTTTCAGCCCATACAATTAATATTTGTATCTAGAGTGCTTAAGAGAAAATCTGTCTTACAGTTTTACCATATAGGAGCCAGTGTTGCTTCTATTTGTTTTGAATACAAATTCATTTTAGATCCTATGTATAAGAAACAACTTTACAAAATAATTTATATACTTGTAATATTTGGGCAAGCACCACAAATTCATGTATACTGTACTTCCTCAATAGAATTTCTCTATTTAATCATAGCAAAAGTTATTTCAAAACTACAACTCTTTGAAGTGTTCATTGGTAATAAAATTTAGTTACAAAATTATGTGGCACTATTGAAAATTTAAAAGGTAGCCTAAAGAAAGCAAGACAATTATTAATAGTAATTTTTTATATTTTCTAAATAAGTGTTTGGGTTTACACAGACATTTATGTAATCATTCAAGATACTAACTAGGATTTGATTATAGTTACTTTACTCTGCATTTAATCATTATTTTAGTAATAAGTTGATAAGGCAAATTTTCTGAACATGCTTAATCCTTAGATTTACCTCTCATTTGGTTTTCCATTATGATCCCTAGGCTGTTTAGGAGGATACTAGTTGGTATGGTGAAACACTGGCATGGTAGTAGTTGAGACATTTTGAGCATATAACTGAGTGCTTGCCACTGCTCTGGAAGTTTTACATTATTCACTCATCAGCGTAACAGCTTTATGAGGTAAATACCACTGCAGATACAGAAAGTGAGATGCAGAGAGGTTAAATGGCATATACAAGGTCAACAGCTATTAGACTTTGAAGCTGGGGGGTGGCAGGGGCTGGGCTACAGACTGCCTCTCCCTGATGACTGTACTTTGCCTTTTTTGAAACAGAATAGTCCTTGACAGATATATGCTAAACTAAGGTAATGTTTAGAGGGAAAAGAGAATAGAATTAGGAAAAGAAATGATTATAGGCTTAATTGAAAATAGGTTTGGTGACTGAGTAGAAATTGATTGGAAATTGTGCAACTGGGCTAATTTATTTTTAAAACGTAAATTATCATTTCAGGACTTAAATATTATTTATAGTGTTTCCTTGAATACAACTATTCTAAGACATACTGTTGTACTACAAATTAAGAGTTTCTGCCTTTATTCTAATCCCATTGCTAGAAGCAAAATTAGTCAAAGTTTAAAGGAATAAGTATTTGAAATATTTTTATAATTCTTCTAAACTACATTAAAATTGTGATTTCTTAGAGTAAAAAAATTAAATTTATTTTCTAAACAGGGTGGTAGCATATTTGAGGTCTTACATATTTAAATGTATGCTACTTCTGGTGCAGACGATAGTAACCTGTCATGGAACTAAAAGCTTCAGACCTAGCCTGTAGATTTTCAAACAAGTCAATGACTCCCAAGAGTTTAAGGACCAGTGGTTCAGTGAGAATGTATTGTTTTGAGTCAGAACTTGTATATATTTGATTAGGAAACATTTTCAAGTGATAAAGGAAGATTATGCACCTTAGCTTTCTAAATCACTCCCTTGATAACAAGTAGAGTATTTAGGATCATTGCATTAACTCTGGCATCGGCCAGGTTGATTTAGGCCCTCTGGAAAATTTATCTTGTATATCTTTTAAAAGATATTCACAAAGTAAGTATAAAAATAATGGAGTCAAAAACCTTTTTAGAAATATAATATTCCCTGCCTGGCCAGCATGGCTTAGAGGTTGAGCACCGACCTATGATCCAGGAGATCGAGGTTCGATTCCCAGTCAGGGCACATACCTGGGTTGTGGGCTCGATCACCAGAAGGGGACAAGCAGGAGGCAGCCGATCAATGACTATTGATATTTCTATCTCCCTCTCCCTTCCTCTCTCTCTGAAGTCAATAAAAACATATTTAATTAAAAGGAATATATCCTGCCCTAGCCAGTTTGGCTTAGTGGTTAGAGCGTTGGCCTGCGGACTGAAGGGTCCCGGGTTTAATTATGGCCAAGGGCATATACCTCAGTTGCAGACTTAATCCCCAGCCCATCCAGGCATGTGTGGGAGGCAACCAATCAGTGTGTCTCTTGCACATTGATGTTTCTCTCTCTCTCTTCCACTCTCTCTGAAAAGCAATGGGAAAAAATATCCTTGGGTGAGGATTAAAAAAAAAAATATATATATATATATAATATTCCCTGATAGAGTAGAGGTGTTAAGATATTCCAGGTTGATTCAACTTCTCTCAAAACAGTACTTTGATAGTAGTAGTGTCCCTGAATCCTGTTTTGTGGAAATGGTTAGATTAGTTTTTCTTGAATGTATATTCTAGGAATATACTGCAGCTTAAACTTATGAAAATATCAATTTGTGGAGGTAGATGGATGCTCAGTGAGTTGATGGTTACCATTTTTTAAAAGTGTGGTTTAAGTGTATATTTGGTTCACATAATTCAAAACAATATTTAACCTACATCTGCTAGGTTATAAATTAAAGCTTCTTCAAGCATTAACATTTATATTAACATTAAATGTCCACTGTGGTATTTCCCAAATAAGCCAATGCTTAAATACATTATCCTTTCTCTGAAATTTCATTTCTTATTTACAGTGGCTTTGCTGTTTAAGTCATTGACCAGAGTTCTGTTGTTTTGGAAGTGGTACAACTACCCAGCCTATCTGAAAGTGCAAAGAAAAACATTCAAGAGATTCAAAATTTACAACCTCAAAAGATTAATGTATGTGCTGTATGCTATATGTAAGCTTATTAATTTATTGGCAAATATTTGTGTAATGTTGCAGTGATCTAGTAAGGTACCCTTCATTTCCCCCATTCTATTAACACTGTTGTCTTTAGTAACAAAAATAATTGTATAGTGAACACCTATATACCCACTATCTGGATTTTGCAACTAACAGTAAATTATACTTTATTTCACAAATATACACCCATCTATTCCTTCCCCAGTTATTTTGACTTTAACACGTAGTAAATTTTTGAAAACTGGAATGTTCATAATGGGGTATTCCAGTTAACTGAAGAACAATCAGAAAACACTGAATATCTTTCATAAACAATTCTATTTTCTTAGTTTTGAAATTCAGGATCTCGTCTTCAGCGTCAGATGATAGAGGAACTTTAAATAGACTCCAATGGCTAAAGAGACTGGACTGAACGCAGTAACCAAGGGCCCTTGGAAGGCTGGTGGAAAAGGGCAAACCAGTCTTTGATAGTAATCCTTTCATTATAAAATTTGAGTACTGAATGCCTGATCACATAAAGAGTAAGGGTAATTTCAACTTTGGAAGGGACCATTTGAGAGCCTTTCTTTTATAGCAAGAAGATAACCCAAATTGTAGATCTCCAAAGAACCAAAGCCTTCTATGATTCCTTGTGGCAAAGTACAGTGTCATTTTCCTGTTTAAAAATCTTACTTAAGAAGGCAATTTTGAGTTCAAAATAAATCAAACATCTACATGTTGGGAGTAATCAAGCCATCCAAATATCTTCCACCTGCCATCCATCCCCTCCCCCAAGACTCTAGATTGCCAAAAACACATTTGTAATTTGGTTTTGACAGCTAACCAGGTTAATCTC